AAGCCAATAGAACTTCGGACGTCTTAGAACTTATACATACGGATATTTGTGGACCATTCCATACGGGTTCTTGGAATGGTCAATAATATTTTATAACGTTTATAAACAGCTTTCAAGATATGACTACATATGTCTCATTCATGAAAAATCACAGTCATTGGATGTGTTCAAAAATTATAAAGTCAAAATTGAGAACCAACTCGACAAAAGGATTAAAAGCGTCAGATTTGACCGTGAGGTAAATACTATGTTAGATATTACAGTTCAGGTGAACAACGTTCAGAACCATTTGCTAAATTTCTAGAGGAATGTGGTATCGTCCCACAATACACTATGTCGGGTTCACCCATTATGAATGGTGTTGCTGAGGAAGAAACATAACACTTAAGGACATGGTGAGGAGTATGATTATTCAATTTACCTTACTAGAATCTCTCTGGGATAAGGCATTAAAGATCGCAATGTATATACTCAACAGAGTTCCAACTAAGGCCACTGATAAAACCCCTTATGAGCTTTGACGAGCAAGAAGCCTAGTTTGAAGCATGTGCACATTTGGGGGTGTCTAGTTGAGGCAAGGTCTTATAAGACAAATTAAAAGAAATTGGACGCAAGGACCATCAGTTGCTATTTAATTGGATATTCTGAAAGTTCCAAGAGTTATAAGTTTTATGATCCCATAACTAAGGCACTTTTCGAGACAAGAAATGATCGGTTCTTTGAGGATGTTGAGTTTGTGGAGGAGAAATGGTTACATGGTTTGTCTTTGAGGAAGAATATGTTGAAATTTCTCCAATTGTTATTGACAATGATCATGTTTCTTTCCTAGATATTGTTCAAGAAACAGTCATATCTCCCTCTGAAGATCAACAAATTATTCCAGAAGAACAAACTCTTCAGCCTTAAGAACCCATGCCATTAAGAAGATCCACTAGAGAAAGGAGAAGTGCAGTTTTAGATGATTACATCGTATTTCTCCAAGAACACGAAGTTGACATTGGAATGGTGGAAGATGATCCGATCAACTTTCGTCAAGCCATGGAAAGTTCTAACTCTCAAAACTGGCTTGATTCCATGAATGAAGAAATAAAGTCCATAAAAGACAATGACGTATGGAACCTCGTTCCATTGCCTAAAGGTATAAAACCCATTGATTGCAAATGGATATTTAATACCAAGAGGGATTCGAAAGATGATGTAGAGAGGTATAAAGCTCGTCTTGTCGCAAAGGGCTTTACATAAAAAGAAAGGCATCGATTATAAAGAGACTTTCTCTCCGATTTCTTCAAAAGATTCTTTCGAGACTATAATGGTATTGGTAGCGCATTTTGATTTTGAGTTACATTAAATGGATGTTAAGACAGTGTTTTTCAATGGTGACATTGAAGAAACAATTTATATGGTACAACCAAAAAACTTTGTATCAGATGATGCAAAGAAAATGGTTTTTAAATTAAAGAAATTCATCTATGGACTCAAACAAGCGTTTTGTCAATGATATTACAAGTTTCATCAAGTGATCATCTCATTTGACTTTGAGATGAATTTGGTCGATGATTGTATATACCACAAGTTCAGTGAGAGTAAGTACATTTTTCAGGTTTTGTATGTCGATGACATATTGCTTGTCAGCAATGATATTGGCTTATTGCATGAAATCAAGAGATTTTTAGCAAAGAATTTTGAGATGAAAGATCTTGGTGTCGCCTCTTTTGTATTAGGAATTCAGATACGTCGAGACTGTTCTCGAGGTATTCTTGGATTAACACAAAAGAGTTATATCGAAAAGGTATTTAAAAGATATGACATGCAAGATTGTAAACTAGGTGACACCCCTTGTGGCTAAATGAGACAATGCCCCAAAATGACTTAGAAATTAAAGAAATGTTGAAGATTCCTTATGCTTTAGCTATAAGGGATCTAATGTATGCTCAGGTTTGTACTCATCCGGATATAGCATACATTGTTGGGATACGAGGGAGATATACAAGTGACGCAGCCAAATGGATCATACATTATTTTCGGAGAACAAAAGACTATATGCTCACATACAGGAGATTGGATCAATTGGAGATCATGAGTTATTCTGATTCCGATTTCGCGGGATGCTAAAATAGTAGGAGATCCACTGCTATGAGGCCTCAAAATGGTGGAATATGGTTGCGTAATTTTTTCTTTGGGATGCGCACTGTGGACAATATAGAAAGACCGCTCAATATATTTTGTGACAATAAATCAAAAGTGTTATATTCCAATAACTGCAGGAGCTTGATAAAGTTGAAACATATAGAGATCAAGTTCTTAACTATTAAAAAAAGAGTTCAGAGTAGACAGGTGTCAATAAAGTATATCGGGACAAACTCCATGATTGCGGATCCGCTCACTAAGGTATTGATACCTAAGGTCTTTCATGAGCACACTGCTCATATGAGTGTAATGTCTCTTGAAAATATTTAGTTTTAGTGGGAGTTTGCATTTTTGTGCTGACACGTATACTGTCATTTTTGATACGGTTTAAGATTAAAGTTATTTTCGATTATAAGATTTATTTGGTTTATTATTTCTGAACTTATTTGAAAATTATCTCACTAAGGTATTAAGATGGACCAGTTGGAAATAGACATGTTACAGATCACATCACATGTAATTTTCATGCTACACATCCAAGCTTGATCCATGTCATTTGGTTATATCAATTTACTTGACCACTGCTGAGTTTAGTTAGCCGTTTTGATCCTATGTTGATATGATTGATGGATCGGATTGTTTGGGGATGCATTCAGTAATGATTGCAAAATTCTGAGTACTCATAAGGTTATGTTTAATGTAAAATTATAAAGTGGCACATATAGTCCAAGTGAGAGATTGTAAGAAATTTTTAAACGATCATGTGGTATGTGTAAATTGTTGTGTATTAAATTAAAGATTATCGAATTCGGTTGAGCCCATTTAAAGTCATCTAATAACGCTTTGATTTTAGGTCATTATGCATCCAATTAAAGTGTGGGTTCTATATGTGTAGAGATCGGGCCCAGATTCCTAATTCTACGATGGACCGAATTAGTCCAAATGGCATTAGTATATATAAATGGTTATGGTCTCCAAATCACACATAGAGAAAGTACATATTTTGTTCATTCGCTTTTGCATCCCATCATAGAGAGAAAAGGAGACTACGTGTAGATTTGGAAAATAAAACTGCAAGAATTAAGTATTATATTAACCATGTTTGATTCAGGTATGCTTCTACTATAATTCTCGAATTTCTTAATGATCCAACATGAAGATCCGATGTTTTTAAAGTAATAAATTATCCTACAAGTGCTAGTCTCGTGGTGGAATCCAGCACGGGGTCATAAAAAGAAGGATTCAATGAATTAGTTCTAGGTTAAATACGAAGGAGATATCCTCAACAAGTCGTCCAATATTGCAACTTAGTTGAGAGCACCATTCACACCATGCCACCAAAGCTTATATATAACTTATGAATTTTGTAGACCAAGGATCATTAACTTTTGAGCTCAAAGTTTTGTAGAATTGCAGTACTTTGCTGCTTTAAAAAAAAAATAATAATAATAATAATTAAATTCCCATTTTGCTTTTTTCATGAAAAGAATTTAGCTGTACTTTGTTCAGTTTTCATAGCAAAATTATTATCTGATGTCCATGGCTGTTGCCGTGGCTTGGTCCTTGGAGAGAATTTGAGTGTTGTTTTATATCCCTTCATACGATTGAATCTTGAGTTATGAATCCACAGTTAAGATTGAGTTTATATAACTATGATTTATTTTGTTTTCTTTATTCATCTTTCTGCTTGTGCTGATACTTTGTTATTTTTAGGGATTTTCAACATTATCAACACGATGTTTTATGCGGAGCTGTCTGGTGATTTTTGCAAGAATAAGAAAGGCAGAATGAGACAATTAAGAGGAAGAATGAAACTAAAAAAGAGTACATTTGGTGAAAGACAAAGGCCTTGAAGAGATAGCAGTGCCACAAGCATAGGCGTCCAAGTATAAAAAATTTGTCTTGCTTAGATTGAAGCAAATATTAGTGTTCTTATATGCCGCTATTATATTAGGTCTCCAAGGCAGACTTTTACCGCCTGGGTATCATGTTGATAAAACTCTATTCGTTTCTTTTCTTTTTCTTATTATTATTATTATTATTATTATTTTCAATACTTTAGTTGAATGAGATATGCATTGCAAGTTAATCCCTTATTTTTTGGAGCTATTACCAATATATGTCTATATGCTTCAATCTCATACCTTCACTTTTTGCATATAGATTTTATCAACTTGCCTGCTTCTGAGCTCTTCCTTCCAGTTATGTGACTCGAATAACAAGATCTCAGAGCTAGAGCAAAAAGAGAATTACACATATCTATCTGATTGTTTTACACGTTTGGTATCGCATTGGCTTACTCCGATACGATTTTTATCAGTGTCTCATTTCTCATAGATTTGCTTGTGCATCGTCTTTGCTATGACACACTTATACTCCAATCTAAGGGCAAGATCAATTTCTTGTATTGGTTTCTGCACCCCTAGTTGATTGCCCAACTATCTTTTGGGTCGAAAAATTAATCAAAATTTTAGGCCTTGGGACAATTAAGCAAGCACATCAAGCCCATTAAGAAGATTTCAACATTAATCAGACGTGTTGCTAACATCATTTTTTTTAGTCAACAGTGAAGACAAAGAATAAGAATTAAAAGAGAAGAAAACATGTATGCTAACCGAATTTGCATCAACATTTATTAAGGGTCATGTTGAGCTAGTTGAAAGAGTTGGGTGAGTGGGGTGTGTTGGAGAATTCGACGAGTAGGGGCTGAGTTAACCAACAACATTGATTATGAATTATCTTAATACGGGTAAAATAGAAATTCTTTCAAATAATTTTTTTGTAAAATATTTAGAGTATATAGTTTTTAAATTGGACTGACTGGAGAGTCGCTACTCGAAGAATAGACTGATTTGATTTAAGGAAAAGAATCGTTAGACAATCTAATTAACCAACTAAAGATTGCTTGAATGAGTTGAAAATTGAGGAAACTTGGAAAAAAAAATATTGAGTAATACGTAAGCACCTGGATAGGGTTGGTCTTGTTCTGCTTGAATTTAAGCCTAATTATATTCACACCATAATTTTTATTTCTTGCACTATATTTTAATGGCAATTAGGGTTCTTAATCTTTGCTTATTATAGCACTTTATCCCTAATGATTTTTCATGTCGTTCTTATCCTGAAACTTTTCGTTAGTTCACATTTTGTATTTGATAACAATTTTATGCCCAAAAGTCTTTTGAAATTGTATAAACAACTTATTTTCTGATCATACTTTAAAAAATAAATAAATAGAAAGGGCAAAAAGTATTTTTCCCTAAGTTCAAAGCATGAAAACAAAGTATTTTGATATAAATCATTATCATGGATAAGAGTGACGTACTAATTAATGGAAAGTTGGATATAAGAATTCGATGAAAAAGTTAAGAAAATAATTATTACAACAAGTAGAGATTGAGGAACTTAACTACAATTAAAATGTGGTGTATCAAATAAAAATTGTGGTGGCAATACAATGATCCTAAATTTAAATCGATTTTGGTTATTTGAAACATGAACCAATCAATTTTAGTCCTGTTTTGATAGGTAAAATTAATGTAATATATCAAATGGTATCACATTAATCTAAATAATATAAATTAAGTGTTCTTAGTAACCATAAAATCATTCTTCTAATGGGAAATTCAAGCTACATCTAACCTCACTTCAGAAAAACCGTTCAAGGTTTACAATTTTACACTCTTTAAGCTAGTTTTATTTTCTTGAAAAAATCTCCTTATTCTACTTTAAAATGTGGGGTGTAAGTGGACCTTGAAGTCTGTTAAAGTTAATATTTCTTTGAATTATTAATAAAAAAATGCAACTTTTGGAAAAACTTCCTCAATTTCCATGGTAAAAGATACTGCATCCAATGGAAAAGTTAATATTATTCTTTTGGATTAAGAAGAACGTAAATTTCACTTGTGGAAAAACTTCCCCAATCTTTGCAGTGAAAGATGCTGCTTCCAATGGAATAATTCCTACGGTTTGATAGTCAAACAAAGTTTTTTAAGTATGTAAAAAGTGGAGTCCATAATGGTGGAATTAATGAATTTTAAATTGAATAAACAACTAAAAAAAAAAAATTACATTCTCAGAGAAGACAAGTTAACCACCGTGTGTTGAATGCCAACAATTTTTGTAAGAGGAAATTTCACAAAATGTCCATTTTTACCTAGTCATTTGTAACAATGTTCACTATTGCAAAAATATCTAATTTGAAAGAATTTAGATCAAAATACTTTTATTAACAATTTATAATTCCACACTAAGAAAAAAAATAGACAATTTTGCAATATTGTTATTGACAAATAAAATTTTGACACATAGCCTGTCATATTTATTTCAAAAAGTATACGTGTCAAATCACAATAAATGTTATGTTTTTCATTGATTCAGAAATGTCGAGAATGACATTTTTAAATGTAAAGAAATGTCATATTCAAAATGAAATATCATTCTAGACAAATGAAATGATGTTCAAATGTCGAGATTGACATATGAAATGTCAAGAAACATTATTTTAATGTAACTTCTCATGGAAGTCACTTCTCAAAATTCGTGACCAATTGATAAAAAAATCAAATGTCGAGAATGACATTTAAAATGCCGAGAATCCAATTTCAAAATGTAGCTTTTCATTAAGGGCATAATAGACAAGTTGACACTAAATTCAAATGAGTGGACACTTTTCAACTCATACCCTTAAAATTGAACATTCTTAAAAATGCCCCGTAAGAGGAAATTTCACAAAATGTTCTTAAAAATGCCACTTTTTGTAATTGTTCACGGTTTCGTTTCACAATCACAGTCTTCATTCACTTGCACAAACTTCCATAAGGCAAAAAACACAGCAGAAAGCTATTGGAAATTTCTAATAAATATATATTGTATGTTGAAGTAAATTATAAGAATACATTTATCACGCTGGAAGCTTTTATTTATATATATATACACGCGCACATTTGTATCAAACTCATCATTACATGCCCCCTCCCAATTTTCCATATGCATTTCAAAATAGCCATGAGAAAGAATGTCATGTTTACGTTATTGGCAATGCTTTACTATTTATAATAATTCATCATTACAAAAAATTTGAATTATAGAAATTGAGTTTTGAGAGTATAATTTGAGTACAAATTTCTTCTCTTAAATTTCTATGCTAAATTTCATTTTCTATAATTTGTCTAACACTTATCAAATCCTCTAACAAATTGGTACCAAATATTACTTTTGCATCATTTATAAAGTATTTTACAATAATGTGCAATGCACATTCAACTTTGAGTAGTAATTTTTAAATGTACTTACCCTGAAACCTCCATTGTGCATTTTGAACCTAGGAACCAATTTTGGCCCATAAATTTTTTATGCAAAAGCATGTCGACCAACAAACCTGTATAAATAATTGAAGATGTTGTCACACCCTTTTAAAGCAAAAAAGAAAAAAAGATGCAATATTAAATATGACTTGAGGTACAATGAATAAAAACATACTCAACAAAATATATAGTACGTATAGCATTTTCTAAATAATTATAAGATATACATCGTAATAACATCAAATCTTACGTACCCAATCAAATTTTATTCGAGACGGTTATTGTTAGCAACTATCCTCATTATAATGTTTAGTCAATATTTTATAATCTTTTCATTATTAATTGAATTTATCTTATTAATTTTTAATTTGTTAGTTTTATGCTCTTTTGACAAATGTTTTTCCACGTGTATAGCATTTTTAAAATACTTATTAGAAATAACTCAGGCAAAAATACTTTCAAAGGTACTTAATTAATGAGTTCTATTAGTTGTTGCTTCTTCTCTTTGATTAGATCTAATTTTGTTAATTTAACATTTTGATATTTTAGAATATATATGTGTAAATGGATTGACAGGAATTATTTCAAATGAAATTGGAAACCTATCGACACTTGTATTATTAGATTTGAGCTACAACGGTTTCAGTGGTACGTATCTAAATCTCCTAAACCTATTTCATATGTTAAATTTGGTGTTTTGAAAAGCGTAAAGCATGACTAGAATTCAACGTCAAGCTTCAAGTTTTTATGACCCTTAAAGTGGCAAGCGTTAAAAAACATAAAGCATGGCAAGGCACATTTTTATTTCTAGGTGCGCTTTTTAGAATAGTGATTAAATGAATTTCAATTTGTTTATTTAATGTCTTGATAGAGATTTATAAAAAAAATAAATATATCTAAATTGTCATATATAACAAATATTTTTATATTGATTGAAAATTTAAATGAACTTTCGGGTACCACCTGGGCATTTTACACTCTTTCTGATAAATGTATTTTATGTATAATATTTTCCAAACAGTTATTAGAAATACATAGTAATAACATAAATTTCAGTTTGAGGACAAAGATGCAATTTCAGTTAAGAATGGTAAGGCATTTCTTCATCAGCAGCAAAGATGAGTTTTGTACTTAGGATATTTTGATTAAAATATAAAGAAAGTTATGAGAGTTTTTCTGTTACAATTTTTTGACGTGAAATGTTTCTGCGGAGTTAATGACTTGTCAAACTAGATCAGCCATTCAATATTCAATTGCAAATCAGCGAATTATTGATTTTCGGGCAAGGCACATTTTTATTTCTAGGTGCGCTTTTTAGAATAGTGATTAAATGAATTTCAATTTGTTTATTTAATGTCTTGATAGCGATTTATAAAAAAAATAAATATATCTAAATTGTCATATATAACAAATATTTTTATATTGATTGAAAATTTAAATGAACTTTCGGGTGCCACCTGGGCATTTTACACTCTTTCTGATAAATGTATTTTATGTATAATATTTTCCAAACAGTTATTAGAAATACATAGTAATAACATAAATTTCAGTTTGAGGACAAAGATGCAATTTCAGTTAAGAATGGTAAGGTTCTTCATCAGCAGCAAAGACGAGTTTTGTACTTAGGATATTTTGATTAAAATATAAAGAGAAAGTTATGAGAGTTTTTCTGTTACAATTTTTTGACGTGAAATGTTTCTGCGGAATTAATGACTTGTCAAACTAGATCAGCTATTCAATATTCAATTGCAAATCAGCGAATTATTGATTTTCAAAATTTACAGGCATTTTGAGAATTAACGTGATTTAGTTTTATTTTTTATTCTCATATTCATTTTGCCTTGCATCACCTTGTTTAATAAATAATTTGATACTCTAAATGAATTTGTACATTTGTCATTATAATTTTATTCTAATATCAAAAATTTATATTAGAGCCACGAATATTTGAATATAATATTTTTATTAAATTTAACTGATCTCTTTAATTTCAGCATTAACATTCGATAATAACTTTTTGAAATTTTAAACATTTGGATTTTGGATTTTAATTTTTGTCTTAAAATGTATTCACAGGAAGCATTCCATATGGAATTGGAAACTCATCAACACTTCAATATTTATATTTAGGAGAGAATATCTTAACAGGTAACTGATCTATTATCTATTAGTAGTTTTGGAATTCATTAATTTGAGTGCGTTCACAAGCACCCTAATACAGGTATAATTCCACATTCAGTTGGAAGTTTATCAAATTTAAAGGAATTGGCGATCGATAACAACCGTCTTCGGGGTCAAATACCTAATTCCATCTTCAATCTCTCCATGTTACAAATATTTTCTCTTTCCGGCAATAGTATCTCTGGCAATCTTCCGTCCTCAATTGCCAATGGGCTTCCTAATCTCGAAATTCTCTATCTTGGTGCCAATCGACTGAGTGGAGAAATTCTTGCCTCTATTTCGAATTTTTCTAAGCTCACTGGTTTGGATCTTGTTGACAACTTCTTCAGTGGGCAAGTACCCATGAATCTTGGGAACTTACGCAATCTACGGATTCTAAGTTTTTCTAGAAATCAGTTGACAAATGATCCTTGAAAGCTCGAATTGGATTTTCTTATTTCATTGAAAAATTGTAGAAAGTTGAAGATCATACGGATGGGAAACAATTATTTTGATGGAATATTACCAAAATCCTTGGGTAATTTGTCAACGTCTGTTGAAATTTTTTATGCCCGTCATTGTGGTATTAAAGGTATCATTCCGAATGAAATTGGTAATTTGAGCAACTTGATAAAGTTAGACATTGGAGACAATAAATTGACCGGAAGAATTCCTGACATTTTGGGTCAATTAAGAAAATTGCAAAGGCTAATACTCAGAGTCAATAAACTACAGGGACCAGTATTTGCCAACCTTGGCGATTTGGTACATCTGTATTATCTTGATCTGGGAAATAATAAGCTTTCTCAACAGTTTCCAAAGTGTTTAGGTAATCTTACGTCTTTACGAGAAATTTATTTATTTTCCAACTCATTGACTTCCACTATCCCATCCACAATGTGAGCTAACAAGGAAATTCAGATTTTGAGTTTAGCTGATAATTTGTTGAATGGGTCGCTAGCTCCAGAAATTGGAAACATTAAGAGCATGCGAGGGTTATATCTATCGGGAAATCAATTCTCTGGTGATATTCCAAGCACTATAGGACAACTTCAGAATTTGGAAAATCTAACATTATCAAACAATCGGTTACATGGTCCTATACCTGAATCTTTTGGTAATTTGATTTCATTGAAAATATTGGATTTATCCAAGAACAAACTCAATGGTGTAATCCCCAAGTCATTGGAGAAACTTCAGTACCTTGAATATTTCAATGTTTCGTTCAATGACCTCACTGGTGAAATTCCAAATGGAGGGCCATTTAAGAACTTCATGTCAGAATTTTTCATGGGCAATAGAGAATTGTGTGAAGGATCTCAATTTAAGGTCAAGCCATGCAAATGTAATACAACTCGGTTATCAAGCATAATAACAGATTGTTGAATTACATTTGACCACCAATTGCTGTTATATTGAGTCTGGCCATTATTGTAGTTTATTTAATAAGACATCATCGCAGAAATACACTTCTTCCAAGTCAATCTACTCCCCCCATCACTGTTAAGAGGATTTCATATTATGAAGTGCTAAATGCTACAAATAAATTTGGTGAAGAGAATCTGATTGGCAAAGGCAGTATAGGTTCAGTGTACAAGGGAATATTTTCAGATGGAATGATTGCCGCTATTAAGATTTTTAATCTGGGTTTGGAAGGTGCAAACCACAGTTTTGATATCGAGTGCCAAATATTGTGCAACATTTGACATAGAAATCTTGTCAGGGTAATTAGTAGCTGCTCAAACCTTGATCTTAAAGCCTTGGTAATGGAATATATGCCTAATGGAAACCTTACCAAATGGCTATCTTGAAGCAACTATTTCTTAAATTTAGCTCAAAGATTGGAAATAATGATAGATGTGGCATCTGCGCTAGAGTATCTACATTATGGGTATCCCTCTCCAATTGTCCATTGTGATTTGAAACCAAGCAACATACTTTTAGATGAAAATATGGTTGCCCATGTTGCAGACTTTAGCATTGCCAAGCTTTTCATTGAAGACCAGAGAATTTCAATTACCAAGATGTTAGGTACCATTGAATATAAGGCTCCAGGTATATGGTTTCTTTCATCTAGTTGTGTATCTATGAATGTTAATAGTGTAACCAGCTATTACTTTTTAGTTCTTGTTTTATTTATGCATCATTTAACATTAAACTAGTTAATTTGATCACATATCCCAATTTTGTAGAGTACGGATCAACTGGATTAGTATCAACTATGGTGGATGTTTATAGTTATGGGATTATGCTGATGGAAACATTTACCAAGAAGAAGCTAACAGATAATATGTTTGTCGGAGAGTTCACAATGAGGAAATGGGTGCTTGAATCATTCCCAGATGCAATAATGCACGTAGTGGATGTCGATTTAGTGAATGCTGCTGAAGATAATATTCAAGTGAAGGAGAGCTGCTTCAAATTAATCATGGGACTAGCACTACAATGCACGATTGATTTGCCAAAAGAGAGGCTCATTGCAAAAGATGTTCTAACAAGGCTCAAGAAGACCAAAACTTAATTTTGTTAAGAGTGTAACTGAGGTGGAACAAGACAAAAGGTTTGCTTCTTATTGAGAACACAAAAAAAAATAAAAAAATGAATCTATATTTATTTTCTTTTTACTAGTAATCATTAAGGCTTATTATATATTGTTCTTGCAGGAAACTTGGCTATCATTCTGAATATTGTTAAGCTCTATTGGATTCCAATGTCGTGTTGAAGTGTGTTGTAGCTGTTTCGTGGACCCAAAATCTGTACTGCAAAGTAATTTTGTTCATACATAAATAATTTTATGCATTTAGTGTCCGTAATTAGACAACGTTTAGATATCTGGTTACTCTACTGTAATATGTGGTGGCGTGAGAAAACATTTTGATACCATAAATTATCTTCAATATGTGAGAATATTGTTACCTTTTGTTCTTATCCTCTTCATTTGCCCTTGACACCAGTCATTAATACAAAGAAGCATTATTAGTACAAAAAAGCACCAAAATGAAGCTTTTTTGAAGTATAAAAATTAAAAATAAAGATTTAAATTAATGAATGTTGAGATAATATACAAAAAAAATTCCATTCATAGTAAAAAGGGGAAGGAAACAAGATGGTAGTGATGCACTTCTGTTAACCAGAATAATGCATAATTTTATGAACTTCTATAGTCAGTAATGAATTATTTGTAAGGTACAACTTTTCAATATTAATTGAATTTAGTTTTTATTTTTATTTTTAATTTCTTAGTTTGAGGACCTAGGATGCATTATCAGTTATGAAAACTTTAAATTTAAAATGGACACCCTTTAACAAAGATTTTATGCTGACAGGAATCTAGATAAACTTTAGGCTATCTCTTAGTCGTTTTACAATCTTTCGACAAATAATTTTCTACATGTTTGACATTTTTCAAATAATTACTAGAAATATATTATGCGACAATAACTTCAAATTAGTTGGTACTCCCCCTCTTCGATAAGATCTATTTTGTGTTAATTTAACATTTGATGAACTTTAGGTTTCCACCTATGCATTTTACACTCTTTTGACAAATTTTTTTCAAAATATATTGTATTTTTCATGTAATTATTGAAAATAAAGCATAATTACTTCGAATCCAAATTACCCAATATGCTTGAGATGATGATGGATAATACTAGCAGGTAGTCTCATATAATGTTTTAGTTAGTACTTCCTAACCTTTTCCATATTAATTGAATTTTTTTATTTTTTTTTTAAATAGTTTGCAGACCTTGTGAGAACTCTAAAGTTAAAATTGTCACGTGTAACAAAGATTTTTTTACTAGGATTGAAAGTCTATATGAATTTTGGGTTACCATTTAGTCATTTTACAATCTACTAATAACTTCATAGTCACTTTATCATTAACTTCAAATTAGTTGCTACTTTCCCTCTTTCATAAGATCTATTTTGTTTTAATTTAACATCTAATGAACTTTAGGTTTCAACATATTAATTTTATGCTCTTTTGACAAATGTTTTACAAAATGTACGGTATTTTCTAAATAAATATTAGAAATACAGCATAATTACATCACATCCAAAGTAACTAATGAATTTGAGATGAAGATGCATACTACTAATCATTATACTGTTTAGGTAGTACTCACTAATATTTTAAATATTATTTGAATCTACTTTTTTACTTTTAGTTTCTTAGATTGGGAGCTAGGGTGTAGTTTCACTTACGAAAACTCTAAATTTAAAATAGTCACCTTTTAAAAGGAATTTTATAGTGATGGAAAATCTAAATGAACTTTAAGCTTACGCCTCCACATTTTCAACTCTTTTGACATATTTTTCAGCATTGATGCCATTTTTCAAATAATTAGTAAAAATATATCATATACCAATAACTTGTAGTTACTTAATAATCAACTTCAAATTAGTTGGTACATCATGTCTTTCATAAGATCTTTTTGTGTGTTAATATAACATTTGATGAACTTTAGATTTCCACCTGTGCATTTTATACTCTTTTGCCAAATGTTTTTGAAATGTATGGTAATTTCCAAGCAGTTAATATAAATACACCGTAACTACATCAAATCCAAAGTACCCAATATGCTTGGGATAAAGATGGATACAGATAGCCTCATTATAATGTTTAGTTAGTACTTGCTAATCTTTTCAATATTAATTTAATCTATTTTTAAAATTTATTAGTTTGAGGTCCTAGGATGCAATTTATTTATGAAAACTCTAAATTTAAATGGTCAGCTTTAACAAAGATATCTATGCTAACGAAAAATATAAACGAACCTTATGCTACCACCCAGTCACTTTACACTCTTGACAAATGTTTTTCATCATGTATGGCATTTTTTAAATAATTATTAGAAATATATCGTGCAACAATAACTTCAAAGTTACTTAATCAACTTCAAATTAGTTGGTACTTCTTCTCTTTCATAAGATCTAGTTTTGTTAATTTAACATTTGATGAACTTTAGGTTTTCACCTATGCATGTTACACTCTGTTGACAAATTTCTTCAAAATGCATGGTATTTTCCAAATAATTATCAGAAATAAAATATAATTACATCAAATCCAAAGTACCAAATATGAGTGGGATCAAGATGGATATTGCTTGTGGCTAGCCTCATTATAATTTTTAGTTAGTACTCGTTAATCTTTTCAATGTTAATTAAATTTTTTCTTAAATTATTTAGTTTAAGGACCTATGATGCAATTTAAGTTACAAAAACTATAAATTTAAAATGGTCGCTTATAACGAAGATTTTTATGCTGATGGAAAATCTAAATGAACTTAAGGCTACTACTTAGGCATTTTCCTCTTTCGTGACAAATGTTTTTCAGCATGTATGGCATTTTTCAAAAATATTATGAATATATTGTTCAACAATCACTTTAATATTGTTACTTAATAATCTTCAAATTAGTTTGTAGTTCCTCTCTTTCATAAGAGCTATTCTATGTTAATGGAACATTTCTATATGTATAAATGGATTGGCACAAAATTTTCCAAATGAAATTGGAAACCTATTAGTACTTGTATATATAAATTTGAGACGCAATTGTTTCATGGGTTCATATCTAGATCTCCTACATTTATTTTATATATTTAATTCAATATTTTAAAAAGAGTAAAACATGTTTAAGTGTCAAGACAAAGTTTTATGATTTTACGAGCCTAAACGTGCTAGGCGTAAAAACCATAAAGTATGGCAATCATGCACCAAGGTCCATTTTCATGCCTAGACACAAGTTTTAGGTTACCACCTCGGATTTTACACTCTTTTGACAAATATTTTTTAGCATTTATGGCATTAACCTATTAATTAATAGAAATATAAAATAAAATCTTATGTACCTAATCAACTTGGGATGGAGATGGATACCGCTAGCAACTAGCCTCATTATAATGTTTAGTCAGTATTTTATAATCTGTTCATTTTTATTGGATTAATTTTTTTAATTTGGTAGCTTGAGAATCTAGGATGTAATTTTGGTAATGATTAATGATTTGGTGTTTCTTTATTAGCTGCAAAGATGAGCTTTGTACTTTTGGAGTATTTTGATTGAAATACTGTAAACGTTGTGAGAGTTTTTCTTTTTCAATTTTTGACATGAAATGCTTTTCTATGGAATTAACAATTTGTTGACCTAGATCATTATTCAACATTCGATTGTGGATCAACTAATTATTGATTTTTTAAATTCTTAGACATTTTAAAGAATTAAAACGTGGTTTATTCTTTATTATTGTATATTGTTCCTATTGATTGCATCATCTTGTTTACTAAATAATTAAATATTCTAAATTAATTTATACATTTGTCATTCTAGTATCATTCTTATTTTAATAATATGTTTGAATTTTATATTTTGAGTATATTTAATCTTTACAATTTCATTATTATTAGTTGATGTGAAATTTTAAATATTTTGCTTTTGATTTCAATTTTTAATATCCAAAAATGTATTCACAAGAAGCATTCCACATGAATTCGAAAACTCGTTAGCACTTCAATATTTACCATTGGGTTCTAATATCTTAACAGGTACGTATTCACAACTCATTAGTACTTTTGGTATTCATTAATTTGTTGACAAACCCCACAATTTAGGTACAATTCCACATTCAATTGTCAATTTATCAAATTAGAAGGAATTGTATATGTTCAATAACAGTTTTCATGGTCAAATACTTGAATCCATCTTCAATCTCTCATATTACAAACACTTTCTTTGATTGACAATAGTATCTCTGACAATCTTCCATCGTCGATTGCCAATGGCCTCCCTAATCTTGAATGTGTTTTAGTCGGTGACAATCAATTGAGTGGAGAAATTCCAGCCTCTATTTCAAATTTTTCAAAGCTTACTAAGTTGGGCCTTGATGGTAACTCCTTTAACAGTTTTCATGGTCAAATACTTGAATCCATCTTCAATCTCTCATATTACAAACACTTTCTTTGATTGACAATAGTATCTCTGGCAATCTTCCATCGTCGATTGCCAATGGCCTCCCTAATCTTGAATGTGTTTTAGTCGGTGACAATCAATTGAGTGGAGAAATTCCAGCCTCTATTTCAAATTTTTCAAAGCTTACTAAGTTGGGCCTTGATGGTAACTCCTTCAGTGGACGAGTGCCCACGAATCTTGGGAATTCACATAACCTACAATTTATAGATTTTGGTTTTAATCACTTGACAAAAGATCCTTTAGTGCTCGAAATGGGAAATAATTATTTTGATGGAATATTACCAAAATCCTTGGGTAACTCGTCAAAATCCGTTGAAAATTTTTAAGTCGATCATTGTGATATTAAAGGTATCATTCCAAATGAAATTGGTATTTTGAGCAACTTGATCGAGTTAGACATTGGAAGCAATGAATTAATCGGAAGAATTCCTGGCAGATTGGATCAATTAAGAAAATTGCAGAAGCTGATGCTCGGTTTCAATAAACTACGAGGCTGGTACATCTGTATTATCTTGATTTGGGAAATAATCAGCTTTCTCAATAGTTGCCAAAGT